ACATATTCACTTTTTTTAAAATCAATTTTAATGGTGATGAAATTTTAGTTACGTTTAGTTTAGTATTCTTCCTTTTAAATAACTTTTCCGTTACTACATATCAAAATGTTTTATTAAATGTAACTTTATAGCAGTTATCTCAAGGTAGCACATATAAAAAGTAGCCCTAATTATCCTTATTCTACAAGATTAACTATTTAACTCGCTGCAAATTTATGAACACTTTGAATGCCATGGGGGTCACCAGTGACCGGCACTGAGTTTGCTCGTAGCCCCACGGGGGTCACCGATGACCAGCGATGCCAAGATTATTAGAAACACATAATTCGAGTAAATTTTTAATATTATTATAGTTACTAAAATGGTTTGAAGAAATTAATGCAATATAGAACACACAAAAATGTAGCAAAATCTATCAAATTTGTAAATTTAATTGTCCTGTAATTTTTTAACGTGCTAAAACTTTTGCAGAAATCGATGCAGTTGACTTCCCTGCTATTTTAATAGGCTGTTGCTCTTTATTAATCACCTCTCTATACATTTTTAGTCACCAGTGGCATCCCTGCGAACTTGTAAAAATTTGCTCATTTTACTAGAAAATGAAAATGTTGAAGTGGTAGTAAACTAATAGAATGTTAAAGTGGTAGTAAACTAATGTTAAAGTGGTAGAAACTAATGCTAAAGTTAAAGATGTTAAAGTGGTAGTAAACTAATGATCAAAACAGGGGCAAATTTTCTTGGTTTAGCGCACGTATTTGTTTTAATAATTTTCGCAATAAGTATTTCAGAATTCTGCCCGTGATTTTATTACCGAATCTGTGGACTAATTATGTTTGCTATGTGTGAGAGAGAAATTTCTTTTTAAATTTTGAAAAGGGTCATATACGTTTTATGATGTAAATTTTTCTTCACTTTTATTATTTTTGGGTAATCACAAGGAAAAGAAATTCTCGATCCTTTCCTTCTCTATAACTTCTTCCCTTACTAATATATTTCTTTTTATAGCTAGGTAGCTTTGGTATACCTATCTTAGGCACAATTTGTTGTCACTGTATGCATTTGTTGGTCATCAGTAGCAGAGTTATAGCAATAAAGTAAGAAAAATTAATTATACTTAGATTGAAGTTATTCACAGGGCCGCTACTTGTCTGGAGAAAATAAAATACTGGTAATAAGAATATTTTGATTTGGGAAATGTAAACTACCCTGAATACCACCTACTTTTTTTTCTCACAACAAGCTATAGATTATTAAAACGGTGAATGCCAAGAGAATCGCAGGTGACCGGCACTGAGTTTGTTCGTAATGCCACGGGGGTCACCGGTGACCGGCGAAGTTAATTTTATTAGAAACACATAATTCGAGTAAATGTTTAATTTTGTTACGTTATTATCGTTTCTAAAATGGTTTGAATAAATTAAAGCAATATAGAACACGCAAAAATAGTTTTATTTATATACACAGAGATGCCGAATCGCTCCGGACAAAGAATAAATATTTTCATGCGGTAGTTTATTAATTGCGATTCTTGGTTCAATACATTCAATTTAGTAGATTTTTATCCACCACTATTTCTAAAAAATTCGTAAGCTTATATAATTCACCACTTATAATTTTATATGTCATGCTAAACCTTTTAAATACCAGCAAAATCTGTCTAATATTTGCAAATTTAGTTTGTAGACGTATGGCCAGACGAGCAAGACATGTAAAATTAGCGTGGCATTCAACGTGTTAACTTTCTTGCAAGTAAATTTACTTAAAATCTATTAATAACTAGTGATAGTTACGAATAGTTTCATTTCTTCTGAATAAAAAGAAACAAATAGAATGTTTTTGTTACCAGTATTTTATATTTTCCGGATAAGTAGCAAACCGGTAACTAATTTCATTTTATTCAATTACAAATTGTTTTACTTTTTGAACTGCAAAATTATAATTTTTAAAATGCGAAAAATTGCGTTGTTATACATTTCTGTTTTTTTATAGATATTTAATGTAAATTTTATGATACTATTTCTAGATTGGGAGCGACATCTCTAGATTATTCCACAACTGCAGAACAGGCATTCCGCTTTGGACCACCAAGCCTGCGGTTTTTAGCTCCTATTGCGAGGTAAATAACTTTTTATCTATTGCTGCAGCATTTTATCTTTGTAGTGAATAAAAAAACAGGGTTGTTTTAAACATAGTTGAAAAAGTCACAGTCTAGTAGTTGACTTTTAGGCCCCAATAGGAGGCTTTTTTCCTTTCCAGGCCTGCCAGCCACTACGCTTTTTGCGAAATTTCCTGTAAAGTGGTACATTTAAAAACCAAAACTTTCAGAATTGCCAATATTTTCAGAATTGCCAATACTTTCAGAATTGCCAATATTTTGAAATCCTCCCCATGATAGAGCTAGAATGAAGTGGTGTTGCATATAACTTTTATGTAGAGGTGTAGAAAATAAGTTTAAATTAATAAAAAAATAATACATTAAAACATATACTTAGATACCACTAGAATAAATTTTTGCAAAAAACATTGAAAGTTGGCAGCCCTGCCTTTCCATAATGATGTCGAGATCTTGATGCAATTTGCATATGGATCTGAGAGAAATGAAAAGAGGGAGTTGAGAGCGTGGCTCTGACAATTACGTGACTTTTCTTGATGCAGAAGGAGCAGTACAGGGCTGCCAACGTTCTACGCTTTTTGTAAAAATTTAATTTAGTGGTTGCCAAGTTTATGTTATAATTTAATATTATTTATTCATTTTAACCTATTTCCACTCCATTTCATATAAATGATTTAAGAGTACATATGCAACGTCACTTTTTTCCAGCTTCTTCGTGGTGAGGCTTTTAAGAGGTTGCCAAAATTACCAAAAATTCTACCTATCATACCTACAAATTTTTTTACAAAAAGCGTAGTAGTTTCGGTGTCTGCAATCATGAGCTTTGTCGCAAGTTGTTGTTACTGGCTAAAGAAGAGTCGGAGGTGTGAGCTCAGCTATCCCGCTAGCTTCTCCAACTTGAACTATGGATAATAACTTATTTTCATAAGTTTTTCCTTCAAACTTTTGCCTCCTCGGGCTGATCTGTGTCGAGACTTCACACAGCGTACAAACCCATCTCCTCATAATTATGAACGATCAAAAAGGTGTTTTAACAGTTAATGATACATATTTTTCTACTACATCATCTTTTTATATTTTAAGTATTAGTAAATTTACAAATTTCTTTTTAATTTTTTTATTTATTTTATGTACAGCGAATAAACGCTTTTCTCCGACTTAAATCAATAATGTTAAAGTTCATATGAAATATTATTTTATACCACATATTTTTTTAGTTAAAATAATACTCCATTGCAACCCAATTACTTAATTGAAATCGGCAGATAGGATAGAAATAGTTTACATTTAGATTAAGTAGTTGATTTTATTGCATTAAAACAAATCAGTGTTTTTATAAATCTAGTCTATTGAAAAAAAAATATTTAACTATCATCGTTAAAGTCTACTTGCTAATGTTCAAAAATTCAGATTATGTAATTTAATTTTGCATTTTTTAAAAAAAAAAAAAGAAAATACTAGAGTTGAAGGATTTTCTTTTTTAAGTAATTATATACTAACTAGGAGGCCCGCCCCCTGCTCGCTAACGCTCGCCAACCCCCGAGAATTGCTACGCAATCCTATGTGGTTCACGCCGTGAACCATGGCTCGCTGCGCTCGCTCGCCAATGAACACAATGTTCTAGCACAAAGACATANAGATTTTTTTTTATTGCAAAAGCACTTGACTTTACATCATTGGCCCCCATGCATCGAAGATGCATGGGATTGGAGCATATAAAACAAAAACTGAACCATTGAACAATACAAGAACAATATAATAACAAGAACAATAAATACTTGCAAAACGTGAGCCACTTAAACATGAACGAGAATCAGTCGCTGGATACCAAACCATTAAGATTGAGTCCCAGATCGTGAAGATCCGATCATTAGATTGAAAGTTATTCAGGATGGTCCGTTTTTTATTTTGCGCACTATACATATTGCAGAATTGTAGATGCATGCTTTTGTTAAACAAAAAACATATCGAATGTTATTATCAGGGTGGCCATAATGTAATGGCTTTTTGGTGTATATAACTGCTTTGTTGTAAGTGAATTTAATACCGAAAGGGTTAATTACCGACTCCCAATGTACAGGCATTTTTGACTTTATGTTTGACAAAGAGTGTTAAATAATATATTAAGGGTGGTCATAATAAAATACTCACAATAATTTTTATGATAAAATCAAGTGGTTAATTGTGTAGAGTGTCTTTTTCTTATTCTTATGCTTACTTACAATTGAATATCCACTTCCCTCTCCTTTCATTTTCTCCAGAATCGAATCGAATACTATTGCTGAAAGTCTACTCACACTTGTACAGAGAGCTATGGTGATGCTTGCATAGCGAGGAGATATTTCCAGCACAGTTGGTAGGTAACCTAGTATGAGAGATTGATTAATAATGATTATATAATACATTCTGGGCCTTATTCTGTGACTATTAACACTGATTTATTATATTCTGGGACTTATTCACTTATATATTACAGTCTGTGACTTATGACTCAGAATAACACCTGCACCAAGTGTTCTTCTGTGCTTGCATAGCGAGGAGATATTTCCAACACATTTGGTAGGTAACCTAGTATAAAAGATTCATTGGGAATGATTATATAATACATTCTGTGTCTTATTCTGTGACTATTAACTCTTGTATATTATCTTCTGGGACTTATTATATATTACATTCTGTGACTTATGACTCAGAATAACACTTGCACCAAGTGTTCTTCTGTGCTTGCATAGCGAGGAGATATTTCCAACACACTTGCTAGGTAACCTAGTATAAAAGATTCATATGGAATGATTATATAATACATTCTGGGACTTATTCTGTGACTATTGACACTTGTCTATTATATTCTGAGACTTATTCACTTATATATTACATTCTGTGACTTATGACTCTGAATAACAACTGCACCAAGTGTTCTACTGAGCTGGCTTCCCCTGATAATATTCTTGCACACATTCGTAACAGATTGTTAGATAAAAATTATTCAATTAAAAGATTTCTACATTTCTTGGTTTATTAATAAAAATTTGGTTCAAAAATTTTCGGTTTTGATTTTATTGGGATAAAGTTTAAGCGAAATCATTTTATCTTCCGATTGCCATTACAACTCCAATCACAAACGTTTTTTTGTTTAAATTCTTATTTAATTTTTCTCTGTTATAAAATATCGTTTGATATTTTTTCCTCAAAAGATTTTTTAGCAATAGTGCATTAAGTTATTGCTGAATATCGCTTCAGAATTTTAAATTGTAATTTTGTATTCATTATTTTAATTGCATATGCATACCTGCCAACTTTTGATCCCTTCCATTACGATTTTTCCCAGTGGTAGTAAAATGGAATTAAAATTTCAATTGTAAGCAAAAAAATACGTTGTGTTTGAAGAAACATTAGCTGACAACCATGATAGTAGCGCATATTGATATATAGGCTTAATTTTTGTAAGAATAGTGGTGATCAAAATCATTTAAAAATTAAATTTATAAAAGAAAAAATATTATATATTTACTACCACTTTAAATATGAAAATAAATACGGGAGAGTTGGCAGGTATGGGGTTGGTTGTCTCCAGTGATAGTAAATTCGAATTTAAATTACAATTCTAGGCTGAAACATATGCTGCATTTGGATTCATCTTATGTGGACTGACGCGACAGTATTTTATATCAATATATATGATTAAATTTTTCAAAAATAGTGATGGTCAAAAAGATTTTAAATAAAGTTTATAAATGGAAGGAATATATAGAAAGCATTCATTTTACTACCACTTTAAATATAGAAATAAAATTCTACGCCAAATGCGTAAAAGTTGGGAGGTATGGATATGTGACGCTAAACCTTTTAAAAAACTAACAAAATCTATCAAATTTGCAAAGTTAGTTTGTTTTACTGTTTGGCCAGACGGGCAAGCCATGTAAAATTAGCGTGGCATTCAGCGTATTGATAACTAGTTATAGTTACGAATAGTTTTATTTCTTCTAAATAAAAAGAAACAAATAGAATGTTTTTATTACCAGTATTTTATATTTTCCTGATAAGTACCAGACCGGTAACTTACTTATAATAATATGTTGCTGTTAAAAGCACAGCCTATATAAGTTCGATTTAATTAAATAAGTTAATTATTGAAATTACTAAAATTAGACAAAATTATTTTTGCAACAAATAAATATGTCAGCTAATTTCATTTTATTCAATTACGTATTGTTTCACTTTTTGAATCGCAAAATTATAATTTTTAAAATGCGAAAAATCGAGTTGTTATGCATTTCTGTTTTTTATAGATTTAATGTAAATTTTATGATAATATTTCTAGATTGGGAGCGACATCTCTAGATTATTCCACAACTGCAGAACAGGCATTCCGCTTTGGACCACCAAGCCTGCGGTTTTTAGCTCCTATTGCGAGGTAAATAACTTTTTATCTATTGCTGCAACACTTTATCTTTGTAGTGAATAAAAAAACAAGGTTGTTTTAAACATAGTTGAAAGAGTCACAGTCTAGTAGTTGGCTTTTAGGCCCCAATAGGAGACTTTTACCTTTCCAGGCCTGCCAACCACTACGCTTTTTGCGAAATTTACAGTAAAGTGGTATACATTTAAAAACCAAAACTTTCAGAATTTTTGTTAGTTTTGTCAATATTTCAAATGCCTCCCCACGATGGAACTAGAATGAAGTGACGTTGCATGTGACTTTTCTCATTTATATGTAGTGGTGTTTAGACTAAGTTTAAATGAATAAAAAATAATGCATTAAAACATATACCTAGCTACCTATAGAATAATTTTTTACAACAAAGAATAGAAAGTTGGCAGCCCTGCCTCTCCATAATGATGTCGAGATCTTGATGCAATTTGCATATGGATCTGAGAGAAAAGAAAATGAAAAGAGGGAGTTAAAAGTGAAGAAGCGTGACTCTCAGGATTACTTGACTTTTCTTCTTCATAAAAGACTTTTCTTGATGTAGGAGGAGCAGTACAGGGCTGTCAACGTGCTACGCTTTTTGTTAATTTAGTGGTTGCCAAGTTTATGTTATAATTTAATATTATTTATTTGTTTTAACCTATTTCCACATCAATTCTTATAAATGATTTAAGAGTACATATGCGAGGCCACTTTTTTCCAGCTTCTTTGTGGTGAGGCTTTTAAGAGGTTGTCAAAATTACCAAAAATTCTATCTATCATACCTACAATTTTTTTTACAAAAAGCGTAGTAGTTTCGGTGTCTGCAATCATGAGCTTTGTCGCAAGTTGTTGTTACTGGCTAAAGAAGAGTCGAAGGTGTGAGATCAGCTTTCACAGGTATGGGGGAGCTGTATGGCATGTGTGATCCCGCTAGCTCCTCCAATTTGAACAATGGATCCTAACTTATTTTCATAAGTTTTTCCATCAAAATTTTGCCTCCTCGGGCTGTTCTGTGTCGAGACTTCACACAGCGTACAAACCCATCTCCTCAAAATCATGAATGATAAAGATAGTGCCAGAACTAATTATGCCACTGTGACTTATTTATCTAAGTTTCGGCCCCGTCAGGGTTCCCCAACTTATTATAAATGATAGATATGGTACAAAGCCGTAGCTCCAATCAGAGGGGTGTACAAAATTTAAAAAGCAAGCAAATAGGTAAAGACAATATAATGAGTACAATGAGGATAGAATGAGATTTATACAGGTATTTACAGAGAGGTAATCTCGGTCACCTGCCTGCCTCGCCTCCCCCCTTTCGGACTTCACGGGTGCACAGACAGGGAAGTTGAAGGGAGGGATAGAGGAGAAGAGGTAGTTGAAATTATTTACTAGTTAAATCTTTTAGAAAAAACATCGTCTGATAGATAGCCAGAAGTGCCACTGATACATATTTTTTTCTAGTACATCATCTTTTTATATTTTAAGTGGTAGTAAATTTACAAATTTCTTTTTAATTTTTGTATTTATTTTATGTACAGCGAATAAACGCTTTTCTCCGGCTTAACCCGTTTTGTCCCGAAGTTATGAATTGAAATGATACAAAAAGTAGTTTTATGGAAAAAGTGGTATAATATATTATAGAAATTAATTGGTTTTTCTACTGTTAAGGCGTTCAAAAAGTCTTTGATAGATCGAAAAGTACTTGTTCCTAAGAATTCAAGATCTAATCAGAAATAACTAAATCATTGTGGTATCTGAGAATCCTTTAATTCACCCAGATAAATGAAAATACTGAAAAAAGTTTCCCACCACTATGAATGTCTTTGAAAAAAGGAACTGTCCTACATATATGACGCTGGGCGTTAACCGGTTAAATCAATAATGGTTAATTTCATATGAAATATTATTTTATACCACATACTTTTAAGTTAAAATAATACTCCATTGCAACCCAATTACTTAATTGAAATCGGTGGCAGATAGGATAGAAATAGTTTACATTTAGATATTGAGTAGTTGATTTTATTGCATTAAAACAAATCAGTGTTTTTATAAATCTAGTCTATTAAAAAAAAAAATATTTATCTATCATCGTTAAAGTCAACTTGCTAATGTTCAAAAATTCAGATTATGTAATTTAGTTTTGCATTTTTAAAAAAAAAAATACCAGAGTTGAAGGATTTTCTTTTTTACGTAATTATATACTAATGCAGTTTATTTATAATTTTTTTAACTATGCATAAATATTTAAACATACATTAATGCCATACCTATTCTCGATATTATTCTTTAAGTAAATAAGAATTTCGCTATAGTTAGAAATTATTTTCATTTTTAAATTTATAAATTTTAATTCCTCTTTCTACAATATAGTATTTTTAAAGTATAGTTATTGTTAGTTTTTCCTCTTCTCTTTTCTGCAAACTATGTTTAATGTTTGCAAAAAAGAGTTCTAAAATAGTAAAACAGGGTCACAGCGGTACTTGAAAAATTTTAGTAGTGGTAGGAAATTTAAGTTAATGCTATAATAAGCTATAATAATAATATGCTATAATAATAATAATAATATATTTTTTATTTTAATATAACACTCTTTATCGTTAAGTGAATTAGGAATGTCGAATTTTCATGCATATATACTTTCGATGGAAAACATTTTTTAGTGTTCGTTACACAGAAATTAAAATATCGACATTTGTTTTATTTTTATTATCACTCTTTAAAATTTTAAAGGCCCACGGGAACCCTGTAAAATGGATTATACATTTTTAAAGAAATTTCTTTTTAAAATAGAAGAATAAGATCTCAGGTTAAGCAGTCGGCATCACCGAAAACGAATCAAAACTTCCAAAGTTCTAATCTATTGAAATATATCTATCCATCATCATCATCACCACAATCTATCTGATTATACTCGAAATTTCAGTTGATGTAATTTAATTTAGCCACATAATTTCAGTAAATATCATTAACTTGACGTTTTTGTTTCACTGAAGCAAAAGAAATAATTAAAAAAAAATATGCAAAATGAAAAGAAATTCTACTGCACAATTTTTATTATTTATTAAATAAAAAGTAATGTTGATATCTTTTCTCAGCACTTTTATTCTTTTAGTAAATAATTTCACTATAACAAAAAACTTTTTTTATATCAATTTATAAAATTTAATTCCTCTTTCAGTTATATAGAACTAAATGAATGTATAAGCTTGATTTCGGTACACTTATAACATAGCTTAACGAAATTAAGAAAAAGTTATACTGGAACATGCTAATTTCTTTTTTCTTCTTTTAAAATAGTTTTTTTTTGAAAGACTGAATAAAAACTTTTGCTGGGATCAGAAGTTTTTTTAAAAGGCTATACTGACTATAATTCCTTGCATTAAATTAAACTAGAATAAATAAGTAAAAAATAATAAGCTTTTCTGCATTTTTAAAATCTAAAACTATTTTATATAAAAATTAATTCAACATTTCTTTCTCATGAAAATAAATCTTCGAAATAAGTATAAAATATACTTTGAAATTAAGATTAAAACGATAATAAAATTCAATATTTAATAAAAATTGAGATATAATTTTTATCAGTTAAGTATTGAAAGTGAAAGCAAAGAATGTTTTTGCATTGAATATGAGTAATTTGTAATGTTGGTGGAAGTTACGTTTAGCTGATTAAATAATAAATGAATAAAAATTAATTAAGTTTCTACCAGTCTTTATTCGTGGTGATGGTAAAATTGGAAAAGCTGGTAGTTAAACCATTTCAGTTTTAATTTATTTTCGGGAGTAGTTAAAACTATTCTCTTATTCAAATTATTTATCAATATCTATTTTTTCTCAAGAACTAAGCAGTCTCATATATATGCTATAATTGTAAGAAAATAAAATTCGGTAATTACAGAAATTAAACGTTTCTCGAAAAAAAAAATGCCTTTCGCACCAGTTTTTGCTTTTCTCCGTCTTGGTATATATAACCTCTCAACCCTGACATGTAAACCAGAGATGCCAACTGCTCCGGACACGCCAAACTAATTTAAAAAACGGTAAATAACTTCATAGTAAATTTTACAAATATTTGACTATTTTTGCTTACTTTTTAAAAGGTATTGCAAGTCATAGAAGCTCTAAAGTGGAGAATATATAAGTCAACCAATTATTTAGAAATAGTGGTGGATAAAAATCTACTAAATTGAATTTATTAAACGAAAAATCAAAATTGATAAACTACCACTTTGAAATATTTATTTTCTGTCCGGAGCAAGTTGGCATCTCTGGTAAACTGAAATTAGTTAGAGCTCCTGGCGGGGCTGATGCTAAAATAACCACCACATATGAGTACATGCAAACTGCTCCGGATTCGACAAAATATCTTTAACAACAGTAGAGACCAGTGTTGCCAGGTGCCGATAACCGTTCACCCCCAGATAGCGCTGTAAGATCCCCTAAATAGTTTTTTTTTTTTTAAAAAAACCCAAAATTTTTAACTTAATGTATAAGTATTAAAAAATTGCACAGAAGTTAAATAATGTATAGAAAATATTGCTTTAATACTTTTTAATGTTTGATTGAACAAATTAATCTTTTTTATATTTCAATCATTACATTATCTTTAATTTCTACTAAAGTATTCAAGATATTTTATTCAATGCTTTTTGACTCGCATATTTTTTCGTAACTATTTTATTATCAACGATATAGTCTTTTTAATATTTTAGTTCTAACATTATGCTTAAATTTCTGATAAAATATCTAACATATTTTCGTCAATAATTTCTGATTTGTATATGTTCTCGCTGTTAAACATTTTTGACCTAGAAGAAGTAGGTACAAAATTTTGACAGTTCATATGGAACGCGCAAAATAGCATCAGTTGTTGTTATGGACATTTTATTTCTCAATTTGCCTTTAATAATATTTAATACTAGGAAGCTTCGCCCCCTACTCGCTGGCGCTCGCCAACCCCCGGAACTGCTTTCGCAGCTCATTTTGAATTGTTTCGCAATCCAATGCTCGCTCATTGGATACGTTCTTAACGTCTAGCTTTTGTATACTTTTTTGAACACTGAAGTTCCGAAAACTTTTCACTGTAGAAAATTCTAAACCTGTACATTTCAATATTAATTTGAAATTGCAAACAGTTCACATATTTTTCTTAATCACACTATTCTAAATTTCAGTTGTTGAGAAAAGTAACTGTTGTAAGTTTTGTTTTAAAGTCTTTCCCACCAGAGGGCTAAAGCCATGTGTTGTAAAACAATATGAAATAGTAGTCTGCCACTGAACGCCGGATGTAAAGCATCGGCTTTGATGAAGATAATTTTGTATTTTTAATTCTCTGAAGGGCGCCACCTTAATAATATGGAATTTGTAAAATAAATGTATATATTTTTGATTGTTGATGAAGCCCATCATTTTGTGTTTTCATCAGTGTTCAGAAGCAGAACAACTATAAGTTTTTTATTTTATCACAAAAATATAAAATGTATAAAAAACAAAGAAAAGAGTAAGAAAATGAGTATAGTCATAGAAAAAGTTAAAATTATAATATAGTATTTGTCAGTTAAAATAAAACTTTTTGTTTAAGTCATTGCTAACAATTCAAATTTCTCCGAGGCAATTCTAAAGTATAAATTAAGGTAGTATTGTTAAGTTGAAACACAATATTTTTAGTTTTGATGTCAACAATACAATTCAATTTTTCACAAAAACGATTGTTTCCATTGTTAAGTTCAATGTCAACAATTCAAATTTTTCTGAGGCAACTCTTAACCTCTAAATATTATTTTTTTTATGTACACATTTCTAAATGTCAGTATTCAACCACAAAACAACTTAAAGTCCTCAAATTTAGCATGAAGTTGTAAAATGTAATGAAAGAGGGTCATAGCAATAATGAAAGTAGAAGTAAAGTTAGTACTGTAAAATTAAAACAATATTTTTAATCAATGAGCCAAGTTCTTCAAGAAGCAGTTGTAGAAGTAGGTTGTTTATTTAAAACTTTTTATAGAATTTCTTTAAGAACACAATTGTTAATTTGGGCATTTGGTGATACAACACTTTTAGAATTGAAGGATTTGTTACGTCAAGCGCTCAGGTATCATAATTTTGATCTAGTTGCTCTTCTATGTCATTTTGATTTATGTTGCTAAGTTAACTTTCAAAAAATTCTCTGACTGGCAACAGCATTTTTATTTTTTAAGTTGTTTATTTTTATTTCTTTTAGAATTCGTTCTTTTTTTAGCGAAATGTTTTTAACCTAACAGATTTCTTTGCCGACTGTTTTCTCTAAAAGTGAAGAAAATAAAGTAAATATTTAAGTGTTGTGAAAAGAATCTTATTTAGTTGTACAAAGTACTTTCAGAGAAGCGCTTTCGACAAAATACTAAAATAGAGATCTACAACTCACTTCTGCCTAGTTTGATAGTATGAGATTGCCGCAGCTGAATTGAACAACCTGATAATGCTCACTCTGGTTATTGTTTCCGTTTTTAAAAGCGCTATATGTTGAGCCTTGTTTGGCATGTGACATTTTTAGCAGCAATTATTGGTCGATTTTCTAACGTTGCCATTCGGGGAGTTGTAATGAGGCTTTTCTGCCGTGTAAGAGAAATATATATATAGATGGAGAAACATCTCTCCACAGCTGCATTTGAAAACGGAATACTTAATAAAGCTGAAACAAGAGTCGAGGTAAGTAAACTTAGTCGAGAATCGAGCGAAGTAATAACTTACTACATTTACATTCAACAAAGGGGTTACGTTCTAAAATTAAAGCTTAATATTTTTGTTTTGGTTTAACACATTGATTTTCGTATTACCATCTCACACATTCAGTTATAAAATTTGATGTTAGAACGTAACCAAAATGAAACTAGTAAAATTCACAAATACCCTAAAACAAATTACCCTAAAATATCCACTGAAGATAAAAAAAATCCCCCTAAATTTAGGGGGAGAAACCCCTAATCTGCCAACACTTGTAGAGACATGTAAACTAAAATTGGCGGATTTTCGATAACTTTTTAACAGACTAAGCTGTAAAAAAAATGGCGCATCACATAAGCCTTTGAATTATTTAGGAGCAATGGTAAGTAAAAATCACGAATGATACTTTAATGAACAACCACTCAAAAAGATTTACTCGGTGTTTGCAGCGCCAGTCTCATTAGGAACCCCTAAATCTCAACTATTTTTCCTTCCAGGGCTCGAAAAAACTCAGAAATTTTACCCGTCCCCGAGGACGGCATGTTCAACAATGTACCCGCACTCATTTGAAACTAACACGTATCTTTTAAATAAATAAAAACATAATTTTCTCCTATTTATTACACATATTTATATAAATTGCACAATGAATTAGGATTGTTACTAGAATTACAAATACTATGATTACATTACACAGTAATAAGAGAAATACTAGGTTACTAACAGTAACCTAATATTTATTTTATGAAATATTTATTTTATGAAATTACTAAAGTCAAGTTATCTGGAATGTCAATTTATTCGAGGGTACTGCATTTTTTTAAATGAATCAAATATGACGTTTGCCAGTTCCACAATCAAGCCAGTGATTTACAGAGGTTTCTGCTCAGAAATCTGAAAGGGGATTTGCATTTAGGTAGATGTTCATAATTGCGTTTAACGCTTCTTGTTTAAGACCAGTACGTATTGTGTTTTTTTTTTTTTGGAAGTTCATTGCTGAAAAGCCGCTTTCCACCGCTACAGTACTCCCAGACAGAGAAAACATCAATTCCACCATACGCAGTATTTCTAGATTAGAGGGTCATTTTTGAAGTGAGGCGCTAGACTCTAGAAAGATAACAAAAACTGAAAATGTATCACGAACATTACCGGGAAAATGGCCGTCCGCGGGGAATTTTTGACCGCCGAGGACGGGAGGCTTTTCGAGCCCTGTTTCTTTCACAATAAGTGCCGCAAATCTAGACACTCACTTGAATTACTCTTTAGTGACACACAAGATAACGATATTTAAGTTTTTTATTAAATATAATAAATAAAATTTTTAATTTAAAAGTGGTATGGTAAAACATGTTAATTATATATTTTCATTGTATTACATTTTCTACTTTGTGTATTTAAAAAAAAAAGAGAACTCTTTTACTTCTATACTAAGTTAGCTGATTACATTTTAAAATTAACTTGCTCTCTTGGACATCGGAAACCATATCTGAACGTTTTAACGCATTATTATTATATTGCATTGTAACGCATTTGCAAAACATATACTAGTTTCGATACATTTTTTGCAAGAATTAAAGATAGGTTGCAAAATTGACAAAAATTTTATAAATTTTTTTAAAAGTAAAACAAAGTTTAGCAATTTAATTGTGATACCAACAACATATACGGATTTCAAATTGCAGATATTACATTTTGTATTCATATGTTAGAAAAAAACGCTTAACTTTGACTTTTTTAACACAAATTTGATAACACTATTTAGTTTTTTTAAAAAGTGTATATAATTTTTGTCGTGAAAATTGTATTAAAATTCTAATTCGCTTTAAGCAATGTACTGTGTTCAAATTAAAAAACTGAATACTTTTATCAATTTTACTTTAGTTATTAAATTTCTGGTTCTAAAATTGTCATTATTCATAGTAGGGCAGTTTAAACTCATACATTGTGATAACTTAAATTAAAAATCTCCGAAAAAAAGGATGACAGAGGTATAGGACAAACGGTATGTTTATTGTGAAAACTCTTTAATTTTATGCAAAAGTTTTAGAAATTAGTAACTAAAGTCAGTAAGCCATTAACTAAAACTTCATGACCAAACGATCCGTTTTTGTACTAAAATGCAAACGTAAACGGAGAGAATGGTATCAGATTATTAAGTTTTGCATATTTTATTGAGCATTCTTTTGTAAAGTATCTACCACTATAAATATTAAATACTTATTTACTACTATATAAAACACGTTATGTTAACGTTAGTATATATTTTATCGCCATCTCCTCAAAACTAAATTGCAAGCATTCTGTACAAATGTTTTTAAAGGTTTCCATAATAAACAAGCAGTTTTTTTTTTTAATTCTAAACTCTTTGTCATCGAGAACTTATATTAAGAAGTCAGTCAGTCTACCTCTGAATACCCTGCACTTTCGCTTAATAAACGCACTTTTTTCTTTGTTTGGTGGATTCAGATTTTGACCGTCAGATTATGGGTAAGAGATAGCTGCATTTTTGCCAATGTAATCCCAATAGTTGAGTCTGGAAAACTGTCGAAAGTTAGGTTTCCTTCATGTTAATGTCACTTTTTCTGCATTCCGACTACTAGATCAAAAGTTATAAAAATGATCCGTTTTTTATTTTGCGCATAATTCACGACATCCAATTTTTTTTGTTAATGTATAAAGATTATTCTATTGAAGTGATAACAAGAATTTTTTAACTTTAAAGTATTTATGATTTTACATAACATTTTTGACATTAATTTTTCAGGTATGCTGTAAATATAATGCTTATGTTTACACAACTTGGATTTTGTTGTGTTTATTTCCTTTTCGTCTCGAGCAGTTTGTATGAGGTAAGAAATCGTTTATTTAAGGCTAAATGTTTGATTATTGGATATAAAAATGATATAACCCTCGACGTAACATAATTATTTCAGCAAATAACCTTAGCTAAAGTGAAGAAATTAATTTTTAACAAAATATTCAGCTGTATTTCGTTGCATTGACGTTGTAGATTCCATTGGCCCCGCAGATTTAAAGGAGGAGAAAGGCATTTAAATATTTGTACGAAATATTTCTTTACTTCCGACTTTATGTGAATTTAAGTTAAAAATTAGTTCTCTGAAAACTGTAATATTTCAGACAAAATTTCAACTCACCATCAACTAATAAATTGTGACCATTATTCAATAAAATGAATGAAGGGTCCTCTTTAATCAGAGAAAAAACTCTCTATATTTATCCACATTGAATTATATGGATGGCTTTTTCCTTATTTAAAAAGTAAATTGCGAATATTTTTGAATATTTTTCTTTCATTATATTCATTATACTGCGTTATGCTGTAACTTGTTACCAATTTTCACTAAAGTTTTTAGCTTTACCATAGTTTTTAATAGTACCTAAGTAACCAAAATTTTTTTTAAGTTTTTCAAACTTCAAAAACACTTCCTTCCTTAAAATATAAAATTTGGAAACTATGTCCAATAGAACATATTTTAATGTATTGATTTTATAAAAAATATTTGGACATCCCTTTCAAATTTCCCTTTTTTGCTCCACGTCAAAATCATATTAAATGTACTTTTTGCCTTTTACCTACCAATAAATATGCATAACTAATCTTAAGTTACGTAAATTACGTAGAATTTGGCTCATTCTTCTTTTAATTTAAAAAATGTGATCATATTTTCAGTTAGTACGCAAAAATAATTTTAACAGAATTAATTTAATTAATTAATTAAAGAAATTAATTAAAGAATTAATTAATTAAAGAAAACTTTTCAAAACTTTTTATCAAAAAGTTTATTATTTACTTGCTATATAACAGCGAAAATGTTTTGATAAAAGTGCCATATATAGATACCAAAAATTTTGATTGCTAATGATTTCACAACGTATACGTCAATTTTAAAATTTTTTGTGTAGAACACATACTTTAAATATTAAATTATATTAATATCGACTCCGTAGCCTTGTAATTTTGAACTCTATCTTGAAGAGAAAGGTCAAATATTGGGAGAAATTTACCCTTCGTGGAGGACGTTTTGATGGAACTAACACACATTTGCGTTACATGGAGAGAAAAACCACGAAAATCTCGCACGGTTGTATTGACGGTAAGGGGACTCTCACCCATGAAAAGTTTACCACTGAAGATATTTTACGTCAGCACTGTGGTCAGGGAAAGCCGGATGCAGAATTCATATCGAACAGCCATCGCTGGGATTCGAACCTGAGCACCTCATTCGTGTATCTTAGTGGTAACCTTTGCATAAAAGAAATCAGAAATACTAATATAAATTGCAGACCTTTAACTAGTGCATTTTCTTTTATCATACAGTGACAGTAAAATATTACTAGATTACTTTAGAAAATACTATACGTAAAGTATTAGAAAAAATCAATGGCGAAGTTTTCTAAATTAGTTTCATTTAAATAACTTCAAACATTCTTTTCTAAAGAGAAATTAATTTCTAAATTTGTTTTCTCCGAAATATCAAACAATTTATCTGTATTTCTGAGAAGGAAAAAAAACTGCAAATTTTAGTCAATCATCCCGCTCTTCTATATATGTAGTACTTATAATTGCTACCAGTTCATTTCTTCTTGCGTACCAATTATTTTTTATACGATTAATACAGCTTGCCTTGCCTTGAAAGGGCGTTTATTAAGGCTTCCTCCTATAGAATTAATTATTGAGGCGTACTTCGTATTAAGCAAAAACTTTTGAGGGTTTTAATTCCTTTGGGATGTCTTTACTTTTAATTAATATACGCAAAAAAAAACTTTTTCGAATGTTTATTTTTTTCAGCTCCCGTGGAGGAGGAATGGAATGATCTTCCGTCGACATGAATGGAAAAAAAAAACTTCTTTTTTAATTATTCAACGCTCCATAAGTTTTTTTTTCTGCTGAACATTTTTTCCCTTTTGGTAAAATTGGAGTTTTCTTATAGTTTAAGTAATGAGATGGATAAAATCTGTTATTAAATGCTGAGCATATTACTGAACTAGAAATGAATTGAAAAAAGCAGAATTAATTTTTTTTAATAAGGTGGTCACTTTAAAGAGAGAAAGTTGGGAGAAAAACCTTATTAAAATATTTGAATACTTTAGAAAAAAACATTTGAGCATACAAAATTTTAAGGAAAATGAGAAAAATGTTATTTTTTTCACAAATTTGGGGGCAGGTATATTAGCTTTTTTCTACCATTAAAAAAAAAGTTTTTTTTTTCTTTTCTTCTCTTTTCAAATTCAGCTTCCTTTCTTAAAAGAAATAATTAATTGAAATTTTTAATACGCAATTTTTGTAATTGAATTATTTAGAAGGGGAATTTATAATATTTCTAACAGTATTCTAATAAACTTTAAATCATTAAATTGTAGAAAAAGAAATAATGATTTGGTCTGCGTCGGAGATATTTTTAGATAATAATTTCGAAACAAGAACACCGTTTTTTATCTTGAATTTTGGAAAACATGATGATATTTGAAACTTTTTTAGAAAATTTTCTTACATAAAATATGCATAGGTAGAAATTAGAAGGAGGACGAAGGAGAAGTTAGGAAGACTGCAATTATACTTAAAATATTTATTTTTAATTTCTGGCACGTTCGCATGTTAGGNCACGAGCTTGAGCTACAGTCTGAATCGGAGTTGTCTTCGCCTGATAATGTCAGCCTCAAAGCAAGTTAAGACAATCGGAATCAAAAATCAGGTTTTTCGTTTATTTTGTGACATCAAGAGCCAGATATCAGGCCACTTGTAAAAGGAGACTGACTGGAGCATATCATTAAAACTTCCTCTGAATGCTGCTATGAACAGCCGACCCAATTTTATGGTTTACGACTACTAATGTTCAACTCCGTAGCCTTGTAATTTTGAACCAAATCCAGTAGGCAGAAAGGAACTCATGGATCGAATAAAGGGAGAAATTTGCCTTGGTGGAGGACTTTTTGATGGAGCTAATCCGCATTTGCGTTACATGGAAAGGAAGACCACGAAAACCTCCCACGGTTAGCCTGACGGCAAGGGGACTCTAACTCATGATCTGTCTACCACTGAGGATATATAACCTCAGCACTGTGATCGGTGGAAGCCGGATGCGGAATTCGTATCGACTGGGATTCGAACCCGGTTCGCAGCATTGGAAGGCGAAAGCTCTATCCCCTGAGCCATCGCTGCTCTTCTGTTCGCATTTAAAGAAACTGATGAAAGAATAATAATTGTTCTTGCAGACGATTTTCTTCTACAACGAAACAAAAGTAAAAATTCTTTATCTCGCATTTGATTTGTTAAGAGCACGTCAGCATAAGATGCTTCATTTTAGTGATCCAATCAAATAAAAAGAACTTGCAACGTCGTACGATTGTTTCTTTTTCAAGAACGAATGTCCTCCTTATGTATCGAAATCTGTCGCCAAGTCTAGAATTCCAGTGAGACTGCGAAACTATATCCTTTTTTTTAATATTTTTTTGATATATATCGTAATCAATGACAGCAATTCTATACCAATTACTAAAATTCTATACCACAATGGTCTTCTCTTAACTTGCAACGGACTAAAATAGTTCAATGCTGTTATTTTTTATGCAACTTACTGATATGGACTTGTACCAACATTTTAAATACGCATGTCTTTATTTTGTAAATTTTTTAGGTTCTTCCTCTTCAGAATGCTATGAAAACACCCGAGGATTTCGGTGGTTTAAGCGGTGTCCTCACTACAGGCATGGTAATTGTGATTTGTCTGTATACTGCAGTCGGCTTTTACGGATATTTAAAGTATGGAAATTATGTGAAAGCAAGTATAACATTCAATCTGCCATCAGTTCCGTACGTATCAACATTTTCTATCAGTAGTATTCAATCTGTGGGTCTCTAAGATTAAATAACTTCTAAATTTTACTTTTTGAGTCGGTATCAAGGGAGAAGTCCTTGTAAACATTTGCGAGATTTAAAAGTACAGGCAATGGAGTTAAAATGAATGTTGTTAAATGATTAAAATGTGTGCTTTTGATAGGGAAGCGAATAAAGAAAACTTTTGAATATTTTTCTAGTTTTTAAATTAGCTTAATTTTTAAATTCCAATATTATCTCTTTAAGCTCCAGCCTGCATGATCGTGAAGTTTAGATATTAACCCATCACATGTATTTTGATAATATATTCATATCAAAACAAGTTTAAATTAAGTAAAATTTTCATTTCTTAGAGATCAGTTTCATATTTAAAACACTCATCACAAACATTAAATTTGATTTTAAATTTATTCGCGTATTTTACTATGCATGGATTATCGTTAATGTCTCAGATTATCAAAATAAGATTATCAAAATTAGTTTATCAAAATAACTTTTGCTATTTAAGAAAAGTAAGTGCTTTCGAATTTCATCTGGTCTTAAAGGGCTAAAGAGTTAAATTGATAAACTAATCAATGAAATCGCTCTCTTTATAAGTTTAGTAGTAAGATGTACAACAAATTTTTAAAATATTTTAAGATTTAATCTCCAATTTGAATTAAGGGTTTCTTTAAGAATTCGTTTTCATCAAAAAGTGTCAGATATCTTACTATTTTTGAATTATTAATTTATTTGCCTTAACAGATTTTCAAACTATACTCTATAACAAAAAAATCGACGCACCAAGAAGGATTGAAACGAAAATTGGTGGATAGGAAGACAATGTACACTGTAGTAAATGATTAAAATTTCAGAACAATTGAATAATTTATTGCAGAGTTACAGTAACAAGTTCAACAAGGTGCTGACCCGCCTCTAGCCTAGATACAAGCTGCCACACGGTGTGGCATAGACCGAAAAAGCTCCCGGATGGTCTCTTGCGGTATTTCCTGCCAAATTCAATCCAATTTTCGAACGAGGTTATCAACATTCCGTGGCAGATGCAATCGCCTTTCCATCGTATCCCAGACATGCTCGATGGGAGAGAGATCTGGTGATCTGGCAGACCAAGGAAGAGTTTTACAAGCTTTCAGACAGTTCATAGCAACACGTGCCGTATGTGGTCTGGCATTGTCCCGCTGAAAAACCAGCCCAGGGCGCTGCTAAAGGAACGGTAGCAAAACAGGTCTTAGGTTCTTAGGATGTCGTCGACGTACCGCTGTGCAGTAAGTGTACCTCTAATGACGACTAAAGGGGTCCGGCTGTCAAAAGAAATGGCACCCCAGACCATAATGCCTTGTTGAGGGCCGGTGTGGCGTGTAATAATGAGGGCAGGATCCCCCCCTTTGCCCTGTGCGTCTCCAAACACGTCTTCGATGATCGTCAGGACACAGTTGGAAGCGGGATTCGTCGCTAAAGACTATACGCCCTCAGTCGGCATCATTCCAGCCATATCTGTTCAAAACATTCATGCATACGAAATTTCAAAGCAATCGGTTGATTGCTTCTTGGCTCGTCGATTTTTTTGTTATAGAGTGTATTTTGTCTAAAATGCGAGTGCCGTTTATACTCTCAAATTATGAAATTAGAATAGCAGAAATATTATATATAAAAAAAGAAACGTATACAGGGTTTGTCCCAAAATTAATGAGACTAGTATGGTTTAAACGGTTTTATTGCTCATTTGTAAAATGTTGTTGTTTTTAATACCACACCAATACCAGCAATCTTGCCTTGTGAAGCTAAGTGAATTTAAGGCAGAGGGTGCGTTTCTTGCTCTTCAGTGACGCCATATATGGCCAAGAATACGACTTCAGTCTCACATTCGACACAGTTCGGTTATAGGGCGGACGCATTCATACATCCATCGACAGAACGTAATTTTAAACTGAGTCAGAGAACGATTAATCTCCAATTCAGTACCTTCAGTCAGTGGTATGATTTGTTATAGGAACATGGAGGCCTTCAGACTGATTTACCGTTCGTCTGTTCACATTTACTACACGGGGAGTTTTCTGCCCAAGAGGATCTTATTCACTACCTCTTGGACATAAGCCCACCGCCCTACCGTTAATCGTTATTTCTGCAAACAAAATACTGACACATCAGCATCTATCTATACGTGGCACTTTTATTAGTGAAATTCATAAGTGTAGTCTTATTTCTCATCGCAGAAAATGTTTTGCCTGCAGCTTAGTGTGATTTCAGCAGTTAATCTCACACTTTTTATCTCTGTGTTCCCGACCATTTCTGAATGTCTTGTACTACCTGAAAATGTAGTAGTCTATATTCTTTTGATAATTTTAAACGAAATATGCATTAAAATTCTTTAAATCTATTAGCAATTTATTGACTTGGCAAATAACTCACTGAACTCGCCAATGCCAAATCATAAAATTATGATAAAACAACTGCTTCTAGGTCTATTAAAATGCAATTTTTGACTGTAAATGGAGTTGTATTTAATTGGGAAACAATAATTACGATTATAAGTACCGTTTTAGAATCATACAAACTACCAACTCATTGCGCGAAATACTTCAGGCAGCTTGCGTTGACATTTCCAACCATTGCTATTTTCGGTACTTATGAATACCCTTTATCTTCCCTTGATAATTGAAACCATTGTTCTGTATCAACCCCCGCAGACCTAATCGTGCTTGAATCATGCAATCACGTTGATCCTCATAACCCGCGATATATTTTCTAATTTTTAAAAAAGTTAATGTTGCATTTTTGAAGCATGAAAAAACAGTGATAATAGTTACTTTTCTATCCTTCTTTTTTCTTTTCTTTCTTTCATTTTTATTTATTTATTTTTTGTTGATAATATTACATTAGTAAAAATATTTAATGATAACTTATGTCCTATTTGTATGAAGCCGTTAAAGAAAGTTTCCGAAGCGCATCAAGAAATAATAATAATAATAATAATGAAAAGAAAGAAGAAGTTTGAGTGCTTTAAACTTGTAGCAAAACTTTAATTTTAAACTTTATTTACTCTCTGATTGTAAAATTTCTTTTAAATTTTAAGGGGAACAAACAAAATAAATATTTAAAAATTATAAAAGAAATTCACGAGCTTTTCTCACCAAGGTAAAAAATGTTAAAATTAATGCATTTTTCTTCTTTATCTCTGTATATTTTTATGAACTAAACAGTACACTGTTGGTAGCTTTTAAAATATTAAAAAATTATAAATAAGAAAAACCTTTTTTTCTTTGAGCTGTAGTTTTCCTTCATAGTCATATATTCATGTATTATCCTAATTAACCTAAAGAATACTGACTAAAGATAGATAAAACTGAACTTAACAGTCATGAATATATGTTATAAATCCTCAACAGTTATTAAAGCAACATTAATCACTGAAAAAACGGCACGAAAAACAGCCAGAAATTGCATAGAGCTATCTTACGTTAACATTAGCGCTAACCTTTCTTTCTATAAGCAACATAGCGATAGGTCGGAAAATGTTTGCGCTAAGAATTTCCATTTGTATGAGATTTAGAGGGACGCGTTGTTGTTGCTGCTACCGTCGTAAGCCATTAAGGCAAGAAATGTGATTGTTCTTCTTTTCCAGTGGCGAAACCTACGGCCAAAAATTTGGCTTCTACAACACCCACTCGTCACACCGTTTATAAAGTGGACCTATTCATTCTTCCATTCATTCATCCACTTGTAATTTTGAACTGAATTAGAGAACGATCAATCTCGAAGTCAGTACCCCCAGATGTATAATTTGTTATGGGAACATGAAGGCAGGATTCGAAGTCCCGTTCTCACGAACGAGAGTCCAGCACCCTGCCAAACAGGCGATCTCTTCCAGAAGAAACCGTTACGCCTTGCAGATGTTTATTATGTTACTTTCTCTATTATGTTAATTGTTTAACAATAATCATAATTTGCAATGTCTACCTACATTATAAATGAGCAAAATATTTATTCTGCAGATTGAGTGAATTAATTCGACTCACATTTGCCGTTGCCGTCTTCCTGACGTATGCTCTTCAGTTTTACGTGCCTCTATCAATCATATGGTCTTACCTGAAAGAGAAGTTTCAGATGGAAGGGAGGTGTTCTTCCAGAGTTCAAACTATTTCTGAACTTCTTCTTCGTACTTTTTTAGTATTTATCACATGTAAGTATGGCTATACTGATTTCGGTACTTACAAGGGAAACGAAACATGCCCGTTGTTTTGGAAAGCATTCATTAAAATAAATTTCGTTCTCTTACAACGTTAAACTGTTTTCTACACTGCTGGCCATCCGAATTGCAACACCAAGAAAGACAAGAGATATCACAACAAAATTTATTTTGTAGATAACATGTTGACCAAGTATCAAATGATTACATTTACAGATTTCTGTGAAGTGTGGTTACTGCCAAAATCAGTAGCCTGAGTAGCCGCCATTTTTGGAGTTCACCGCTGCCACACGCCTCATCATTGATTCAAAGAGACTTTGGATGTGTTCTGGTGTGGCAGCTGGTGATGTAATCTGAGTCAATCGTTGAGCAATCATGGACCACATGCTTTCTATCGGCGAAAAATCCGGAGAGCGAGCTGGCCAGTAAAGCAATTCAATCTGGCGATTGACGAAGAACCCTTGGACAATGCGTGTCACGTGTGGTCGCGCATTATCCTGTTGAAATATGACTGTGGGCAAGCTCTCTGAAGGTAAGAAAGGAGAACTGCCTCCAGCATAACGGAGATGTAGCGCTGGCTGTTTTAAGTACCGGCAATGAGTACTAGAAAAGTGCGAGAGTAATATCCAATACCGCGCCATACCATAAGACCCGGTGCAGGACCAGTGTGGGGGTGCATAACGCAGCTGTTCAGTATCCTCTCTCCACGGTGTCTCCAGACTCGAATGCGACCATCGTGGTGTTGCAGACAGAAGCGTGACTCGCCAGTAAGAGAATTTCATTCCATTCTGTCGTCCACATCCTTTTTTCATCGCACCATTGGCGGCGGAAGCGTCTAAGATTCTGTGTCAAGGGTAGACGAAGCAATGGACATCTTGCGGACAGACCACTCTGCCGTAAACTGCTTTGAATGGTACGCGCAGACACTGGATGATGCGTTACAGACTGAATGTGCTGTGCTATGGTTTGTGATGTGACTGAGCGATCAGTCACTGCCATGCGCACGATTCGCCTGTCATCACGTGAAGTGGTGCGCTCAGGTGGATTCAATCGAACGCGTCGGTCCGTCCTGCATCCAACGATCACAGATCCGCATTACAGTTGTTTGGTTTCTTCCAACACGACAACTGCTTTCCCTGAAGGATAATCCACAATCTCGGTAGGCCACTATCCTTCCTCTGTCGAACTCGGATACTTGATGAAAATATGATCGCTGTTTTCTACGAGGCATAATTAATCGTTTTTGAAAAAAACTCAAGAAAAACACAAATGCCGAACTTGATATCGTCGAAATCTCCGAACCTTAAATAGCACTTTGAAGTGGCGCCACAGGCGCGCGTAATGAGCGTATGCGCTGAAATTCTAATCATTTGCATATCTCACCTCCGCTAATGCATGTTGCAAATTTCATGTTATTTGCATGCTTCCTTCAGAGTGTTGCATTTACAGTGGCCAGCAGTGTAATTATATCAGACTGTCACCCAGCAACAAGGAGGAACTTTTAAAAAAAAGTTAAACTCGGATTTTAGCTATTTGAAATGTGATTTTGTCTCATGATTACTAGTTAACGGATTTGCAAGGACTAGCGAAGAAAACATGTCTAAATTAAGGAATATAAAAAAAAATTATAAGAATTTATTTACATTTATCTAACATAAGTAATTTTTCTTAAAATGGCACTAGTGCTGAAAATAAATTTTCTACATTTTCCACATATCCTAATAATTTTTCCTCTCTCACTTTACACGAGATTTCACCTCATAGTCATTAGGCAGCGAATATTTATACAAGTACTTTAAATATCAAACACTAGGACACTAAAACTGTATTGAGTCGAAAGAAAATTCTTAAAATCATTTTGGATATCTCTATTATTTGCAAAATTTCAAAAATAAAATCTTAGTATCATTTTAGATATCTCTACGGTTCACGTTTAAAAAATATTGGAATCATTTGAAATATATTTACTATTTACAGCGTTTCAAAACAAATCTTAGAATCTTTATAAATAGTATAATCATTATATATATAGTAGAATCATTACCTAAAGTAGAATCATTATTGAATCATTATATATATAATTATACGTTTCCAAATAAATAAATAAATAAATAGCTTAGAATAATTTTAAATATCTCTAATAGGTGCAACTTTTCTAAAAGAAATCTTAGAATCATTTCAGGTATGCAGGGCCGTTTTATCCATTAGGCACTGTAGGCAACTGCCTAGCGGCCCCGCCCAACACCCACGTTCAGGGGCCCTGTGCTACAGAGAAAAAAATTGACAATGTTTCTCAAACAGTAAAAATTTAATTCGAAATTTCAATGACGATTGTCATTCTCTGTACATTACATCGACGCTATTTTAGTACATTTCTGAACGCATTCCAAATTAGATATTAATAATATGGTAGTTAGCTCATATATCACGCAGTAATATAATCGCAAGCAATTTTATCGCGGTAATTTTAACGCCGACTAATCAGATGACTATACAGCAAGAGCAGCTTTTTTAGCACAACACGCTTAAAAAACGCGCAAAATTCTATGTTGTGAATGCACACTTACTGTTCTGGTACCTACTATAGATATGTATATTCTATGGCCAAGCTATCAAAGAGTATGTAAAAATAAGGTTGACAGTACTGGTTCTTTCGTCGCATGACTGGGGAATTCCCCGATCCGCTAAATACATACGTTGTATTGTGTCATAGACAACATTTTTAATGTAATCGTTGAATTTTCACGTCGTGCAATTTGTTTGCGAGTTTTACGGCTGTGAATGAAAAGATAGTTTTACAGTTTGTGTTTCAAAACTTACGAATTTAGAGCTAAGTATTGGATATTTATTTATAAAGACTGCAGAAGTGCTTCGGGCTTCGAGAAAATCGGTGAAACGACGAGTAAAAATCCGTGTAGTGTAAACTGAAGTTAAAATTACTATACGTAAGTTTTATTATTTTTTACATATTTTATTACCTAATACAGGACTTGACAAATGTGAAGTGCCGTTTTATTATTATTATTAGACAGTTTTTAATTATTTTTATTATTAATTAAAAACTATCTTCGTTCAACTATGTCTCAAAACCGTTTAAATTCATTGGCCATAATGGCAATTGAAAATGATGTATTGGAAAAGGTTAACTTTCAGGATGTCTTGAACGATTTTGTAGCAAAAAAAGTTAGAAGAGTTAATATTTAAGCTTATTGTATGATTTTTTAAAATGCATATATAAATTACTTATATTCTTTTCGTTTGATTCAATATTTTTATTGAATAATGTGATAATATACCTATGTAGTAAAAAACAGCGTAATTATGAATAAAGTGTTGTGTTAGCGAAAAAATATATTAGGAAGTTAGAAGACGGTAGGGGGGGGGGCGAGACGAGCATTGCCTAGGGGCCGCGACACGCATAAGCCGGCCCTGCTGGTATATCTATTTGCAATGATTCAAATAAAAAAAAATTCCTCATACACTAATGAAATTTCTCATTTCATCATATGCGAGATTTCACCTTATAGTTATTAGACAGCAAATATTTATTAAATACTTTACATATCAAACACTAGGGCACTAAAACTGTATAAAGTAGAAAAAAATCTTAACATTATTTTAAAGATCTTTATTATTTACAACATTTCAAAATCTAAGTACCATTTTATCTATCTCTATCATTCACAACGTTTCAAAAAAAGTATTAGAATCATTATAAATTGTGGAATCATTATATATATAGTAGAATCATTACTGAATCATTATGTATACAATTATACGTTCCAAACGAATCTAAGAATAATTTTAGCTATCTCAACTAATTAAAACATTTCTAAAACGAAATCTTAAAATCATTTCAGATATCTCTATTTACAATGTTCCAAAAAAAAAACTTAGAATCATTTTAGATATCTCTACTATTTACAAGGTTAAAAAAAATAATACATTTGAAAAAAAATCTTTTTCTGCAGAACCTGATGAGATTTCGCCCCATACCCTATAGAACTTAGAAATAAATATAAGGACAACTAAAAGCTGAAAAATATGTCTATATTTTTCTATCTGATTAATATGTGTGGGAAGTGGGAACAAAGAAAAGTCAAATGTAGTCAGATACTAGTGTCAATAATTATGTTTTTAAATTTCAGCTATTTTGAACTAATGTGCTTGATCCGTGTACTCGACGTAAAATTTTTTTTTAATACAAGATTCACCAAAAATTAAATAAATAATATTATTAATAAAATACTGATATTTTTTTTATTTTCTTTTGTATATACTATGTTTCCATTCTAATAATTTTGATGTAAGATAATTTTCATGTTGTTTTTTATTAGATATGTTAAAAGTTTAAATGCTATGCCATAAACTATTTGGTTTAACAGCATTAAACAAAAAATTTAAACTGTTTGTAAAAACAATTCCAATGCATACACACAAAAATATCATTCAAAATTTTTAAAAAAATTGCCCAGAATCCTTAATAAATTTATGAGTATAAATAATAATCTACAAGCAGAAATAAAATAAAGTTAAGAAAAATTATAAAAGAACAATGGCTTCCCGCAAATTCAGAACTGACTTAAGTGTCACTTTAATCACTGCTATGAAGTTCAAAATTTTCTACCACTTAAAACATTTACGAAAAAACTTCTGTTGAATTAAGAGAGACACAATGCCTCCTAAAATTGAGAGCCTCCACACAGCTTCTTAAGCAGTCTGATCTGACCACTATGAAGATAAATCAGAACGAAAGAGCCATTTATTTTGAAATCTAGTAAAACTAAGAAAGTGGTAGCAAATATATGTCTGAAAATGTGTTTAGTTTATGAATATAATTGGTTTGTCTTATTTTCTTTTAAACCACTACACATACACATACCTGCCAACTCTCCCGGATTTTGCGGGAGATTTTATTTTCATATTTAAAGTGGTAGTAAATATATACTATTTTTTCTTTTATAAATTTAATTTTTAAATGATTTTGATCACCACTATTCTTACAAAAATTAAGCTTATATATTACTATGCGTTACTATCATGGTTGTCAACTTACGTTTGCTCATATACAACGTATTTGTTTGCTTAAAATTGAAGTTTTAATTCCATTTTAATACCACTGGGAAAAATGATAATGGAAGGGATTAAAAGTTGGCAGGTCTG